ATTTAGAGGTATGCCACTTCTAAATCCGATTAATATAAGTTGAGTTATGGAGTTTAGAACTTCAGCCTTGGTACATTTCTTAATGTTTTTGAATTTCACAACATCATAACATCAAAAAAATTACAAAAAAAGTAAATTTTAAAAATTTTTTAAATTTGAATGGAGATTTTTAGAGAATTGCGTCAGAAACATTTAGAGGTATGCCACTTCAAAATCCGATCAAGATAAGTTGAGTTATGGAGTTTAGAACTTCAGCCTTGGTGCATTTCTGAATGTTTTTGAATTTCACAACATCATAACATCAAAAAAATTACAAAAAAATTAAATTTTAAAAATTTTTTAAATTTGAATGCAGATTCTTAGAGAATTACTTTACAAACATTTAGAGGTATGCCACTTCAAAATCCGATTAAGATAAGTTGAGTTATGGAGTTTAGAACTTCAGCCTTGGTGCATTTCTGAATGTTTTTGAATTTCACAACATCATAACATCAAAAAAATTACAAAAAAATTAAATATTAAAAATTTTTTAAATTTGAATGCAGATTTTTAGAGAATTGCGTCAGAAACATTTAGAGGTATGCCACTTCAAAATCGGATTAAGCTTAGTTGAGTTATGGAGTTTAGAACTTCAGCCTTGGTGCATTTCTGAATGTTTTTGAATTTCACAACATCATAACATCAAAAAAATTACAAAAAAATTAAAATTTAAAATTTTTTTAAATTTGAATGCAAATTTTTAGAGAATTACTTTACAAACATTTAGAGGTATGTCACTTTAAAATCCGATTAAGCTAAGTTGAGTTATAGAGTTAAGAACTTCAGCCTTGAGACATATCCTATTTTTTTGAATTTCTACAACATCAAAAATTACAAAAAAAGATGGAATGCTTTAGTCGAGTTTCCCGACTATTAGATACCCGTTACTCAGCTAGTGGAAGTGCGAAAGAGAAATTTCGTAATTATCGGTAAAAATGGAAAATAAAATTAAGAAACGAAAAAAAAAAAATTGTTCGAAAGTGCTGGTAATGGGTAGTGTAACGGGTATAATAACATTTTAGAAACATTGAGCTTTATAATTTATTTTGGTATCCTATCGTATAACACATCTATGCTTATAAAGCATATCTTATTCTTAAGTTCCAATTCGAATCTCAGACCTTTTCGGGTTTCATTAGGTTCAACTCGTGGGGCTCATCCGACGGCGTCACTTTGTAATGGACGAAAGGCTGCACCACCGGAGACAGGAGCTTCGGGTCCAGTTTGTAATCGGGCCCAGACTTCAGGATGTAGCTCATCGAAATACCTAACACACAGGTGATGATGAAGCCTGCGACCGTGTACCAGTTGAAGGAAAGGTCAAGGATGCTGAATTCCTTGTCCCCTGCAGGGGCTTCTGTGGTGGAACCCAGGATGAGAGTTGAAACTGTGCTGAAGTCCGTTGTAGTTCCGTTCAAAGAAGCTGGACAAGCGGCTGTGCTCGTGGGCAGAGTGTCATAGTGATTGCGGCCCCAGCTCAAAGTCACAATGGCGGCCATACAGGCAATGCTACCAAGAACTCCAGTTAGGGCAGCCTGAATGAAGAGAATGGTTAGGTCATGTGCAACATTCGGAAATCCTAGACTTACCCTGCCATGGACTTTTGGAATCAGCATTCCCAGGATAAAAACGGCACACGTCGCGCCAAAGCTCAGGCCTCCAATAGAATAGATCACTTGCAGAATGGAGTTGAAGTTCTCCACGACCATTCCACCCAAGATGCAGTAGATTCCGCAGAAGAAAACGAACAGTTTCATAATCACGTTGGCCCGGTGCTCCGTGTGCCGAATGTGGGGCTTGATGTAGTCAAAGTAGACCACTCCTCCCAAGGAGTTAATGCTGGCGGAAAGTGTGCTGAGGGCGGCACTGAACACGCAGGAAATGAACACGCCTGGCATGCCCCACAAATGACCCACGGTATCTTGCACGAAGTACGGAACTATCTTGTCCAACTTGGAGACATGACCAGATTGGAGGGGATCGCAGTCGTGGAAGCGCGAGTAAATCACAATGCCTGTGAAGCAGTTGAAGAACATGATCAGGATAAACCCGAAGCCAAAGAGCACCAGGGATCTTCTGGCGTGACCTAGAGAAGGCAGGGACACGATACGCTGCACGCAGCTCTGGTTCAGGCCCACGTATCCCGTCCACATCATTGTCGCCGATGAGAAAATGTTCCAGATGGTAGAGCGCGTGGTCAGGTCAAAGTTGTAGTTGATATCCAGGCGTCCACCTTCCCCGGCAATGCGCAGCACTTCGAAGAGGCCCCCCACCCGGTGTGCGCCCAGAATGCCCACTAGGACCACGGAAACAACCATAATGGCTGCTTGGATAACATCGGTCCACACCACAGCCTTGATGCCTCCAAACATGGTGTAGAAGACGCAGATGCCGCACACAACAGAGTTGATTAGGTGCACATTGAATCCGGTCACTAGGAGTTCAGAAAAATGAGCAACGAGGGCATTCAAGTTAGTTGGCACTTACCCTGTGCAAAGGCCAGGGAAGGCAGGAATATAAAGATCGGGAGCATGAAGAACATCGTCATAATGAAGAGTGAGGTCTGGATCACTCGCACCTTCCGACAGAAGCGCATCTCCAAGTACTGGGAAGATGCAAGGTAAAGTAAAATGTTCCTTTGGAGAATCACACTCTGGTGTCACCTCATAGCAGTTTGTGATGTTATTGTTGTAGAAAACTGGGATCACCACGTAGTTGAGAATGGGCACCACAATCACCATGCAGACCACGTTGAAAAACCAATTGATTCCGTAGCCGTACAGCTCCGCCGGAATGGTCATTATGGAGATCGCCGACAGTTGACTGGCCACCAGCGAAATGGCGATGGGAATCGTTTTCATCCGCTTGCCGCCCATCAGGTACTCCTCCGTGGTGTCCTCCCCCTTGGCGAAGAACCCGAAATAAACTCCAATGGCGGCAGAGATGCTCAGCACCAGGGCGAACACGCCATAATCCGTGCCGTTGAAAACGAACTGTGAGTCGGGAACCACGGTGGCGGCGGTTGCCAGGACGGTAGCGTTCGCAAGGGACGACATTTCGGAAGGATCCGCTCGAGGACTCGCAGCCTCGAATCACCGCACTAATCACTATTCACTTCCCGGCTCCGATTGCGGAGAATCGCGATTAAACGCATCACGGCGCCCACATCGTCTTTTATAAAGTGCCGTGCCCAGCAAGCTCTAAATATTATCTATCGACGGGGCTCGCGTACGATCTTATCTAGATGGTGGTATTATGCAGGATCTTAGATCCCCTCAGTCAATACCCGTCTGGCTTGCCGATAAGAGATCCAGAGCTGGCCGAGATTACGTAACCCGGCACCCACCCATTCATTGTATTCCCTTTCATCCAACCTGCGCTGAATGTTTACCCTTGAATCTGCATTATAATCCTGCTGAGAACCCTCCAGTCATTCACGCCCTGCCAGTCATCGTGCTCCGGAATTGGTCCCAGACAAGGCCGCTCCCATTGTGGATGCTTATCGAGAACCTGGGGATGGAGTTTTATAGGCCTGTGGTGAGATTTCAAAAGTAGCGCAGATAACTTTGATAGCTGCTAATTCTTATCAAGCGATCTGCTCAAGATCATTAACATAGTTGAATTACCGCGTGGCTTTGTGTAAACACTCAAATGGGTTTTACTGATCTGGAGCAAATATACAACTAAGGCCTTGTTTAATTTTTGTTAATCTCCTTTCAATTTTGCAGCAGCCTCAACTTTTAGCTGTGATCTCAGGCGATCTCAACTAGTAATGTAATTCACACTTAAATTCTATATAATAACTTAATCCGTTGCTAGGGCTAAAGAGTCTTCCGAATCTCGCGCTTCTATTGGCGTATACGTAATATGGCAACATGTTTATTGGCTAGCTTGCATGATAGCATCTGCAGGTTTTGGTGGCTGCGATGTCGTAACCGGGGGATTCCACAGCTTCTGCCAGTGCAGCTTTTTGGGTGCACTTCCATATGTACATAATATATGTATGTACATATGTATGAGGACGGCCACCTCGGCACGCATTCAATTGGGAAATCTAATGACGCCGAATGTTGGTTAAGTGGCTGCAGCTTCGAATTCAGCGTCCACTTCATTTATAGCTCTGGGCCAGCACTCCAACTTCGGCTGTGGTAATTGTTGATGTCCATCGACTCATCATCCCCCTCCGCCTTTCCCCCCAGCTGCTGCAGTTGGCCCAGAGTCGCGGCTGCACATGTCGCAATATTCGCGTAATGAGCGCCCCTCCGGCACCAACCGCCATCGACGTCCACATCCCCACCTTCATCCACATCTTCCATTTTAAGCACTTGCACGACAGCCATCCGAGAGTACGTCGTACACTGCAAGAAAGGGGCTTTGAATGAGCAGTTATCATAGGTACCTGATATTGCCAAATATATCACCAGGTAGAAAGTTATTTCAACTGTTCCAGCTTATCACTTATCATTTATATATATAACTTAATAAATTTGTAACTACAGATTGTGCGCAGTGCACGAGGAGATAGGGCAGGGGTCACAGCTACCTTATTATCGAGTGTAAAAGTGAAAGGATTGGTGGAGATGTGTGGCTGGGTATCTAAAAACTGACATGCGCCAGTGACAACTCGGTTTAGGTAGAGATGCGAACTCGATCAATTGGAATGGGTCTATGTGAGTGGATTGTGGGATTGTCATTACGAGATCATCGAGTGTTTTCTTTGGAGGTAGGCAATGCGAAACGAGGTCAGTTCCATCAGATGTAATGATGGTTGGCAAGACAGCAATTACTCGGTGTACTCCCCATGGTTTTGAAATTAAAACAATGTAATCATTTAACGGTGACAAAATTTACTATTTTTTTTATTGTTTTCATATTTTTTTGTTGTTTCTTTGTTTGTTTCATATAAAATAAAAACACTTACGAGCTAGTAATGCGTTATAACACTGTCTGGGGTGTTTTCCATCTTGGTGTTGTGGGTGTTGTTGTGTGGCTTTCGTTTTCGGGTTTTCTTGTATTCGAGTAGTGTGAGAAACTATTTACAAGGGTTACAAAAAAGCCCCAAACGAAGTACCGAATGGGTTGGGTATTCTGGGGATCGGGCCTTAGAGAGTTTTGGGGTACAGTCGCTGAGTTTGGGAAGAGGGCTTGAGAAGGGGAAACGATCTCCAGTTCTCTCGGGATCAGAGCGGATCGGTAGTTCCTTTTTAGGTCCAGGTTGCCCAAATTGGTATGGTGTTGGTGTCGTGTCCGTCGGTATTCATTTTTGGCAGAGGTGTGTCTTTCGGATGTGAGACCTGTTCAAAGATCTAGAAGGGCGCTCCATAGCTGCCGCTGGGCCTGGAGGGGGCTCCATAGGATCCAGATGGGCCACTGGGGTATCCGCCGCCACCGCCCTGCTGGGTGCTCTGCTGGGCGAACTGGGCCACCTGAATGGCCTGGCGGACGCCTTCCAGATCGATGCCCACGACACGGCCGCCGCCTCCGATTCCGGGGGCTCCGTAGCTGGTGGACGGTGGGCCGTAGCTGGTGGATGGGCCACTAGGATAGCCACCGCCGCCGCCTCCACCGCCGCCGCCGCCGCCCTGCTTGCTCTCCTCGTTCAGCAGGATCTGACGGACCTGCTCCAGCAGCTGGGGATCGACGTTCTGGCCCTCGGAGGTCTGGAAGCCGCCGCTCACAGCCTGGTAGCCGCCGCCGCCGCCACCGCCACCGCCGCCACCTCCGAATCCGCCTCCGAATCCGCCGCCGAAGCCGCCTCCAAAGCCGCCGCCACCACCGCCTCCGCCGCGAGGATAGTTATATCCGGATGGTGGCTCTGCTGCAGCCAGCGCGGCCAGCGCGAACACTAAGAACTGAAAGTAGATACTGGAGGTTAGTGCACATTCCATATTCCAGTGCTTTTAAATCCAATTGCAGCGAGTTATTCCCTCTCAATCCCTTTCAGGTCTGTAATCCGTTTGAGTCCCAACTTGGTCGCCTGGTGTTACTTACCACTGAGAAGGAGTTCATAGCGACGATTCGGGTGAGTGTGTTTGTTGGGGGGAAGAGTTGAGTAGAGTAGAGTGGAGTGAATTTGGTTGCTTCCGAGTGGGGAACCAGCGACTGAATGCATCTCCACCGCCAGCAGAGCCACTCTTTATACCCGCTGGTGCTCAGCTCTTCAGCTTTCGGGCCAACTCGTCCGCTCGGCAACGTCATTATCGCCAAACTTCGTCTGCAACTTGTTTTTGTTGCTGCTGGGCGCTTCTCACAATAAAACAAAATTTCCAATTGGAAAACAAGAGACAGTAGAAAAAGAAAAGACCGACCAAGTAAAATGTCGCTAACGATTTTGGTATTTGAAATTTTCTTTGGCGCAGACCAGGAAGTGATTTTTCCCACCACCGCGATCGATTCCGAAGGTAACCCAGCCGCAGCCACTGAGTTTTTTTTTGTGTTGTTTTTGACAGCCCAGGAGGATCATGGAGGCTTCCAAAACATACTTCTCCTGGCCATGAGGGATGGCTCCGCTGACGAAACTGCAACGCGCATTTCCCGTTGCCCAACTGCAGTTGCATTTCAATTGTGGGTAAGTCGCAACCGGGGCTCGTCATCCATCAGCATCATCATGGGCAGGGGGATTACGAAATGGGCTGGGAAATGCGAGTTCGTACGATCTCGATGTGGAGCAGTAGGGCTGTGGCACCACGGGGCGTATAATTAATGTTTCCCAAGGAGCCAAATTATATTTACATTTGCAGATGAGTGCGGCAATCGCAAGAGCCCGAAAAATTTGAACTATAGCGAAACTTCCACCCATACCCTTTAATTTTTGTTTTCAAGCGATAATGATATTGGGTTTAGTCAAGCACGGCTGGTGACACACCCAAGTGACCTCGAAATGAGATCGCAAACCACATATGTATCTGTGCTCATTCTGACAGAAGTGAAAGAAGCCCCGATGGACAGGAGGCTCCATGGTGCCCATTATGTCATGTCGCCGGATGAGCACCTGTGGAGGCGCAGATGGCAGCCAGAAGGTGCAATAAAGAAACACGTTGACAGGGAAGACGCCTGCACTCGACTGGAAGTGAACCTGGCCGTAAATTGGACTAAATGAGGTTTATTTACATCTCGGCACACACTTTCGCAAATACCCAAAACCGGCAGTGACTTTGGCTCCGCTCCACGCAGAGAAATCATTTCCCAAACAAGTTCATGTGCCTCAAAAGTCGGGAGACAACAATTCTTCGGAAGAGTAAGGGACTACCTAGCGATTATTTCGCGATCGTAGAAGTGTTTGATTTGACATAATACATCAGTGCTTTCGTTTGTTTATTATCATGTACCGGATTTCTGCGAGTGTACTGAGGGCTCTTCTGAAACCTTCACGCTCCAAAGTGAAGGACTCTGCGTTGCGTGTCGCCCTGCGCTGGGGCACGATCTGCAATCGGAGGCTGGCGCTTTGGACGGGGATCGGGTTCGACTTGGGACTGGGACTGAGTTCGGGGGCAACAATGAGATGAAAGTCAACACTTCACACTCGATGGCGGAGGCAGCGGACCCAATGACAGTGCGCTAAATCATTTTCGTGGCTCGAACTGCTTAGATCTGCTGTGGCTGCCACTGTCGTTAATTCGGTTTATTGTGGTCGAGAGATTCCGGCGAAGGTCTCCTACCTATCGATGGCGTAACTCCATCTTTGTGGGACTTCGCTTTCGGCCGTGTAATTGGAGCACAGGGAAAAGGTCACATGCCAAGGCACTAACCTCTTATTAATAAATGTATAATTTATTATATGCTTGGCGCATTTTATCAGATCATCATCTCCAAGAGTCTACTCAGGCTTGGCTCTAAGGCGATGGTCCTTTGAATAGCAGTTGGTCATTATTGACATAATTGTGGGAGTTCAAAAATAACTTCTTTTCCATCAGCAGCCTTTGTTTTGGCTTCGCTTGTTTTTGCCTCGGTTTTTGCAACTCTAATGAACGCTTTTTATACGCGTAGTCTATCTGAACATATCCATCATTAACACGTCTTCCACTAGGTCAGCTTTGGACAGTGATGGCGATGGCGATGGCGATGGCTTTGGCTCTTGGCTCTTGGTTTTCGCCGTTCGCTTCGTGTCCCAGTCTTTTCTCAGTCGGCTTAGCCTGGCCCAAACCAAAACTCATTATGTCTTTGTGTGAGCGTGCGTAATTGTTATGACACTATAATTGGGCCAGCAATAGCAAAACAAAGCCGAAACACAAATAAAATCCCCTCAAATGCAAAGGCTGCCAACTGACAGACGCGCCTAAATTATCAAAACGAATTCGCGGCGTTGCTTTCGAGATTCCGTTTGCCATTCGTCTTTTACAGAGTGACATCGCCCCCGCCCCACAAACCCATTTTCTAGCTAAGGCGATTTCAGTTTACCTTCTCTAGTTTTAAGAAGTATAACATATATATTCTAGAGAGCCATCATGGCGTATGCGCAATCCCGCAACCAGCACCGTTCTGGTTTTCGCTGATCAATTCAGGTGCGCCACTGCGGCTGGGAAAGGCTAATGGACAGGCGGCGGTGGACAAAAACTGCCTACTTAATCGACTACAGGAGGGGTAATTTGTCACAGTCGCAGACGAGGCTGATGAGCGACAAAAGGCTGAAAAAGACTATTCCGGCCTATTGATGACAGAGGGAGAATGGCCGTGCAAAAAGTTGTAACAGCGATGCTGATGAAGATGAGTTCGCGAATTGCTTGCCTGTCCGGTGGTGTTTGGTGGCTCATTCTCTGCAGATCCCTCCAAGCCGATGAACCCCTGGACAGGCTGCGCAGATTACATAAGCCAGCGAGCCCCCAGCAGCGGCAGCCGAGTGGTACACAGTAAAAATTTGTGCTTGTTTCGCATGCCGAACTGCCATTGCCCACATATGTATACTCACTCAGATTATCCCAATCTGATTGCATTTAAGTAATTTATTTGATAAAAGCTGCGCAGATGGTTATCTGTTGGGATTTTGAATTATTGTTGCCGAACGGCGTACAGTTAAAGAATTGAGTCCGTTGTTTTGAGTCGCTGTAAGATATTAAGTAAATATTAAGTGCCCAAAAAACAAAGATTTCATTTGGATGATTGATTTATTATCGTTACACCCAATGTTCAAAACTTTGTACAAATATGGTCTATTAAGTATAATATGCATTAAGATTTGACTGCCATAGCCGTGTAGCCACACTACCTGCACTATGGCCAAACATCCAGCTCTTGGAGGTGAGTGGTCTCCGCTCCTCCTCCGCCTCCTCCACTCCATCTCCACTTCACCTGGGCAGAGTGACGCTTCTGTCGTTTCCTCGTCGCGGGCCGAAACGGGTTTTGGATTTGGCATGCGAAGTGCTCCCTGCTTTATGTAAGTCAAGCGCGGAGACCAACGATGCAGTCATGGAGTTGGAGCATGGGCCCGGAGCAGGGAACTTGGAGCCGGCTAGCGGGCAGATGCGCAGACTTGGTGGAGGTGGGAGGTGGCGGAGAAAATGCAGTGCCTGTGCAATGCGAAACGGCCAAGTGGGCAACAGCAACGGGAGACACTTGAAGAAAATAGTACCCAAACTTTGTTGGTAACTGGCATTTGTGCCAGTTATATTATAAGCCAATCCAAGCCCCACTCATTTATAGATGAACTAATTTCTGGGAAGAAAAGTCGTAATGTGTTCGACCCAACGTTTTTCCATAAGCCGGGAAAAGATGGCACGGTGTGCATGGAAAAGCTGCCGCTGAATGGGAAATGGCTGCGACACGTTTTTGCCTTGGTCCGCTGGGATGGGATCTGTGACCGGTCTGAGTCCGCGGTGGTCTGGTGTCTATGTCTCAGCCCCACGTTTGTTTTCCGCATAAAAAGACACATTCATGCTGGCATTCTGCAGCCAACTTTAGCCTTTGGGTGCTAACCACTTGGCTGGCTTATGCAAAACTCCACATCCTCAGCTACTCCGCGACGTTGTGCCTTGTGCAACACCCAGACACTGGAGAGCTGACCGGTTGATCCACCCCATCCAGCCATGTGGTCATCTAGGTGCATCATTCTCGAGGCGGAGTAAAAGTAAAAGTCAAAATGTGTAGCCAGCGGGAGAAGAATGGCAATCACAGATCGAAGATCGCCGTGAAGCAGCTGGCTCATTTAGCCGCCTTAATTATGCCACGATTTCGTTCAGCCAACTCATCTGCTTTTTGGCCATGGAGGTGCCCCATTGCGCGCCTCGTTTTGCTATTTTGTTTCTCTAGCCAAAACGCGAAAAGTGGCAAGGTATAAAACATAAATGGATTTACGAGGGGGCCTAAATGAGTTAATTAGGTTTGCAGTCGAGAGGTCTTAACCAACACGAGTTGGCCATGGCAAAGCCAATGAAGATATCAGAGATGGGGTAATGGGAAATGTAGGTGGATGGATACATGTTGTACTACATGAACCATGCAGCCTTAAATGCTTTGGTAATCTATTTCTTCGTCAATAGCAAAGATTCCACGTTTAGAAGAGAGTAGTCCTATTTCACTATTGCAATAAATAACTAAAGTAAATGTTAAAGGAATATATAAATATAATATATAAATATAAATTTTGTTTGTTAACATCATCATATAAATCATGGAAGCATGGTCTTTATAAGAACACCTTGTGCGGCACTGGCTGTGCGAATACCTGATTTAAAGTTCGTTATGGATATGCTTGGAAATGTAAATGGGCAGATCCTCAGGCAGCTCAGACATATCCAACTCGTTGGCTAATGCGAAGTACCGCCGTCTAAGGATGTGAGCCACTTCTTTGGGTTGCCGGTTCCTTGTGAAGACTCCTTTCTTGTTACCGCCCACACGGGTAATGGCTGCAACGTATAATTTTTATTGGTTGTAACTCTTCTTTAAAAACTTTGGAAATACTGACTCTGCGCGGTCCGAAAATCGGCGAAGTTCCAAACAAACTCTCCAATAAACCATCCTCTCCCACGTAGCTCGTCGAAAGCCCTGAAATGGCGGGAGAAGAGCTCAACCTGGTATTCCTCCGACCAAATAAAGGCTGGAAGCTGAAAGGAAAGAAATGATTAGAGTCAATTAAAGGCCTGAACGGGGTTCCTCACTGAATGCATGCCCTCCATAGTGTCGCCGCCGTACTCGAATTGGATGACCGGCTTTCCGAACTTATCCCGCCAACTTTGTGCCTCTTTCGTCAACAGGTTTATTATCATGTCAGTACGGCCCGAGTTCTGATACCAAGAGTTATAGCGATTGAAGCCCACGATGTCCAGAAACTGCGCCAAATGGCAGGTGGAAGAGTTGGCATTTATAGCCGCTGTGAGAGGGCGTCCGTGCGCAATGTCTCTCGCATATTTTACCAGGGATCTAAAGGCAAGCCATCTGCGTTAGTTGTATTTTATAAGTATAACTTTCTACTGACTCGAAGTATTTAAGAGCTCTTTGCTTCGTCGATCTCGGCTCATTGGCCACCGACCATGCAATAACACTTGGATGGTTTCTGTCTCGGTGGATCAGTTGCTCCAGCGAGGACATGTGGTGCTCCAGTAGCTGCGGCTCGAAGATGTCTATATTGACAGCAGGACACTCGTCAATAATCATGATCCCATGCTGATCGGCAAACTGCATCGACTCTTCGGAATAGGGATAGTGAGAGGTGCGATACGCATTGGCTCCAATCCACTTCAGCAGATTAAAGTCTCGAGCAAGAAGTGCATTATCCAAGCCTTTGCCACGGATCTAAAATAGGGATTTTGATTAGGTAAATGACCAGATTTTCCTAGCAAACAAATTCACATCGGAGTCCTCGTGCCGTCCAAATCCCCGCAGATAGAGGGGTTTGCCATTCAGAACCAGGCTGTCGTTGTCCCAGCTTAAACTGCGTATGCCCACTGGGAGGCGGTAGGTATCCTGCAGAGCTCCCGACTCCTCCTCTTTGCTGTCCACAAATAGCTCAAATTGGAGATTGTATAGGTAGCCGGGATCGGAATGCATTAGGTAGGGCCACCAGGGAGTTGCATTGACCACCAGCAGAGTACCATGGTAGACCGCCTCGTTGATCTGCTGGGCAGCCACATGACCATCTTTGTCCCTCAGTTGCACCCGAAGATGGGTGGGCTGGACGAGGAGGCCTTCCTTGCTCCCATCCAACCACACGCGGTAGTCTATGCGGCCCAATCCGTCGTTAGATATTTGGGTGGTGACCTCCAAGTCGCTTATGTGAAGCAGAGGGGTCGTGTACAAATGAACACTCCTGTGAATTCCCGCGTAGTTAAAAAAATCGAAAGTGTAACTCTGGACGGGCACAGAGCCGTTGTCCGTAGCCGCGTTGTAAACTGAGCCCTGAGGAATGGTACGGTTGCTTAAGCGATTGTCACACATCACCGTGATCCTGTTATTACCGCCAAAACTGAGCAGTCCCGAGATCTCCGACTCAAAGGGTAGGTGGCCTATAGAGTGACTTGTGGCGTTCTTTCCGTTGATCCAAACCACGGCCGAATAGTGAACGCTGCTGAATCGTAGCCAAGTGCGCTGTATAGCCTCCCAGGAGCGCGGAACGAAGAAAGTACGCTCATACCACACGGTGCCAACGTGATCCCGTAAGCTATCCGTGGTGATGTCGTTATAGGAGGCAGGCACTGGCATCGAAATAATCTCCCTTCCGGTCTTTCTCAGGCCACCCGTAAACCACTTGTCCCTGATACCCTGTAAGGGGTCAGATGGGTCACTCCTAACCAGTTCCCACATTCCATCCAAGCTCCGCACTTCACGGGTCTCCGAGTCCCTGGGGTACAATAAACCCTTTGTTGGTGTGGGTCTTCTGACATCATCATACTCAAACAACAGGGAATCAGTTAATTCTTTGGGATGGGCGTCCACGAAGTATTCGTCCTCGGTAGAAGCCAATTGAAGCTGCAGACTGCTGAGCAGTAAAAAGATGGCGGGGATCCAAAGCCTCCCCATCGCAAATCGAACTATTTCTGTCGACAATCAGTTTAACGACTATCAAACATTTGGGTACCGTCTTCTTCTTCGCCCGGCTTTTGATAACAGCGGCAGAAGTGTGACCAGCGCAAATATAATAAACGAACTTAAAACAATATCCGTTAATTATTATGAATGAATTTGTTAACATAAGCTTTAAATTGTAAACTTAGAATTTAGAATTAAATTAGGCCTTCCATTCATGAAAAAAAAAGAATTTGTTGCCTTTAAACATAATATTTCTGAAACTGTATTTCAACGATCAACTTAAAAGGTAGTAAACATTTGAGGATAGCTTAGTATATACCAAGCCATATATTTTTTCAAACTGCGTTACAATCATTAAATTAATTACACTTATTGGAAAGTGTAAATAGTCCGTGACATTGGAGCCGTGAAAGCAATCGATTGTTTCGAAGAAAAAATCGGTGTTGTCATATAATATCGATAAGATATTTCACCATCTGGTAGCACGACTAAGTTCATACGTGTAATTATCGGTAGTTAAAAATAAAAATATTAATACGCTTTAATAGAGGCAACCCCCCATTTCAGAGTTGGAAATCTCGATGGCAATGCAAACAATTTCGTTCGGCTAACAAAACCCGACTAAATTTCTACGTCAACGAGAGCATAGACGATATTTTCGGTTTCTCCCAAAGTGATACCGATTCCGAGAGCTACGGCCTTATATGTAGTGTGAGGGCAGGCAGAGATCCCGGCCAAAATTAACATATTCCTGGAGTCCATCAGCCAGCTGGCAGCCCTGGGGACGTCGAGCGGCATCATGCAGCTGCTGCTATCATCCGTTTGCATGGCGCTGACCAGCGCGGTGATTGGATTTGCCTACTACCAAAAACAGCAGTTCTATCCAGCGGTGGTCTACATCACCAAGTCAAACGCGTCCATGGGGGTAAGTGAATCCTACCAACAATCCAGGCCAATGCATAAACATAATTTTAATTTGCTTCCAGGTCATATACATACAGTTCTTTGTGATTGTCTTCATGTTCGGCAAGCTGCTAAGCAAGGTTACATACCCGTAAGACTCCCTTGCAAACCCGCACTAACATTGCTAATCCCGTAGATCTTCCTGGGCACGCTACGTGCCGCAGAGTTTGAGCATCTACTGGAGCGCTTTTGGTACGCCCTTACGGAGACTTGCTTGGCCTTTACGGTATTCCGAGATGACTTTAACCCGCGCTTTGTGGCCATGTTCACAGTTCTTCTATTTCTCAAATCATTCCATTGGCTGGCTGAGGAGCGGGTGGACTTTGTAAGTCATGCTACTGCCTAAGTAACTACCTAATTTCTATTAATCCTCAATCCACCGTAGATGGAGCGTTCTCCCGTGCTGGGCTGGCTCTTTCACATTCGCGTGGGCAGTCTGCTCACAATGCTAGGCATCCTAGATTACGTTCTCTTGATCCATGCCTACAACTCCACTTTGGTGCGTGGTCCCACCGTGCAGATGGTCTTTGGCTTCGAATACGCCATCCTTCTGACCGTAATCGCCAGTACGGCCATCAAGTACGTGCTTCACGCCGCAGAAATGCGCACGGACACGCCCTGGGAGAACAAGGCAGTGTTCCTGCTCTACACTGAGCTGGTCATTGGACTTATTAAGGTGGTGCTGTATCTACTGTTTGTGGTGATCATGGCTAAGATATACGCGCTGCCCATGTTCGTATTCAGGCCTATGTTCTTTACCTTACGCAACTTCCGCAAGGCCCTGAATGACGTGATTATGTCCCGGCGGGCCATACGCAATATGAATACTCTGTATCCAGACGCCACGCCCGAGGAGCTGCGCCAGTCAGACAACATATGCATCATCTGTCGCGAGGACATGGTCAATCACTCAAAGAAGCTGCCCTGCGGCCACATCTTCCACACTACATGCCTGCGCTCGTGGTTCCAGCGCCAGCAGACCTGTCCAACCTGCCGTTTGAACATCCTTCGAACTCCAACCGCGAACTCCACGGCGATGCCACGTCAAGCCGATGAGGCTGTGGCCGCAGCTGCTGGGAATCAAATTCCGGGTGCAGCAGGTGTTCAACCTGCTGGTGGTGTGCCTCCTCCATCTCCAGTTGCCGCAGTCGACGGCAACCAGGCACAAGCCAATGGCAATGTAGCCGGAGTTCAAGCCGTGCCGCCAAACTTTGCGGATCTCTTCGGCGATGCCAGTGAGTTTTGAAGTTTGATTCCTAAAACAATATCATAATCGTCGCCTTGCATTTTCAGCCGGCTTGCCCAATGGATTGCCTAACCTGGCTGGTTTGCAGATCCCTCCTCCGCCAGTTATGCCCATGCTTTCGCCTTTTATGATGCCACCCCACTTTGGCTACCTCACGCCACTGCCGCCACCGCCGATTCCACAGGACCTGACCAATTTTACCGACGAAGAACTGCGGGCCATGGAGGGTCATCAACGTGATCATATTGTGCAGCGTCTAAAGGTGCGATTTTGATAATCTCCTTACTCTACATTTTCCAATCAAAAATCACCTTTCAGTTGCTGCAAAACATAAACCTTATGCTGGATTCGGCGGGGATAATGATGTCCCAGTACCAAAGTTTGGCAGCGCGTTTGCAGCTCACTGCAGCGACGCCAGCATCCGCGACCAATGGATCTGCTGGTTCTAGCGTATATGACATGCCCAGTACCTCGGCCACGGCCATGGCTCAGTTGGAGGCTCACCAAGTTACCCCCACAGCAGCAGCAAGCGCAGCGTCTCCGACGATGCCTACAGAAAAGGTAACCATTGAGGATTTGGGAGCGGACGCAGACGAGGATGATATACCATCGACAGCCAACGAGGCAGTTAGCATTCCCAACTCCGATGCCGACTTTGAGGAGAACTCCTCGGAGCTGGGCGAGCTAAGGAAGCGCCGTTTGAAGTTCCTTGAGGAGCGGAACAAGTCTGTTGCCGCTAATGAGCGCACGACAGCGGAATAGACGCCTTTAAAACTGAAGTTAACACTCCAAAAAACGGCAGCGACATTTCTCATCCCACTAGAAAACATGAACAGGACGTGCTTGCGTTAATCACATTTTTAATTCTCTTGGCTGGCATTGATTTTGTTTATACTCCGCTCTTCATCCGCTGCATCCTGTACTTGACTTCTGTTTTTTTCTACGACTTGCGATATGAGAATATTACGACGATGACGACAGAGGAGACTACGATGCCCCCGACTTCACACACTGAAACGACCGCGAAGGAGCGGCATGTGGAACGAAGCATCTGAACGTGAACCGTAAAATGCGGCATCAAAATCCAATATGTAGCAATATGTATTGTGTAAAAACTATTTTAGAGATGGGAAACTGATGATTTGTATTTAATATTACTATATGTGTATAATTAATGTGAAATATAATTAAAACGAAAAGAACGATGAATGGATCAAGGTTATGCGACGAAACACTAAAGATTAACTGCTCATAATCTTATCTTTGAAGACATTTTTTATGAAGTTCAACTAGTTTACAGAGCTGCACTGATAGATAACTTATATCTGTATCAGGTCTGAGTCTAAGCTACGCACTAAATGTAAATAAATTAAAGGACGCGTACACTACACATAGATAACAACAGTCGATCGACGAGTTTCCCGGCCGTGGAAAACTTGCATCTGCAAGTCACCGCATCAAATTCTCGACTCCAGCTCCCGGAACTCGGCCGGATCCGTGAAACGTACGGTCAGAATGTAGAACAGTGTGGGAAAGGGCACCAAGCACATAAAGGCATAGTGGTAATTCAGCGAGGTGAGCCCGTAGGCCAACAGCATCCAGTGTACAGCTGGAAAAGTAATCTGCTGTTATACTTCATGTATGATGAATATGCACTTTTCTCACCTATAATGACCACGTTCTTCAACTCCCACACCGAGGAGTGAACCAATGCCTTTAGGGTTTGATCCAGTTTGAGAGAATAGTGGATGGCATTGGCCACCATGGATATGGCCACGCTAAGGTAGGGAAAAGAGTAATCTGAAAAGGTAAATATGTCAATGCCAATATATTAAAAAGTAATCAAGTACTCACAGATCAACCCACATCCCAACGCATGGATAAAGGTGAGCAGGGGCAGAAAGTAAAGAGCCGAGTAAATTGGCGCCTTGCTTCTGCCCCCCACATCCATAATTTTGCTGACCAGCGGGCGTATAAGAAACATGTTCACCAGACACAGAAAGTAGAAAACCAGCACAATGGTTTGCCTGGGAAACCAACATTAAAATTAGTTCTATGAAGAACTGGAGTCTTGGGCAGGAGGGTCTTACAATGGGTAAACTGCCTCCTGGGTGCAGTAGACTCGTGCCTCGTAATTGGGGCTGGGATTGTAGAACAATGTGTACCAGTCAGTAAGTTTCCGAACATCACAGGCGTAGAGGCGCAGCTCCCACATAGGCTCCATTAACAAAGTGGCCAGAATAGCAGATATGGCCACCTCAACGAAAGCGCTGGCCGTCAGGATCAGCTGCTTCCGGGAAAACCTGTGTGGAATCACTATGTAAGTTCTGCTTCTATTTGGCTTAGTTAGCTTGCTCACTTGCGATCCTTGGCGTCCATGTCTATAAAAAAGCAGTGCATCATAAGCGGCAGCATGGTCATGAATCCCAGGTACAGCCAGGAGTATGTGGTCAACTCGTCGCGGCATGGAGTGCAGGCGTAGCTTTGGTTCACCTGAACGGTTTACAAATAAATTATGATACAGGAGCTCTTTCGATGGATGCTGGAAACCAACCCGGGATCCCCGGGGACAGACCCCGCAGCTGCTCCAGGTGTTATTTCCCAGCGGTGATCGTCCGCAGTAGGCTCCTGGGCAGCGTTCCAACGCGTCGTACATTTTCATGCAATCAAAACAAGTATTTTGTGTTCTATATTACATTAAACAAAATAAACACAAGAATCCTATCGTTATCGGACTTATCGTTATCAGTAAGACTGTGAAAAACGAATTGGCTGTTTGTGTAATTGTGTTAATTGTAATTTATAAAATGGGAATAAATCAGAAGAGCTTGCCAAATTTTATAAAAACATAGGCTGAGATAATTTGTAAGGTAAATATAAAGTACGTATGAATTTGAGCCCTTTAGAGTATTTTCTTATTCTTTCAATTTAATATTCAAATATTCTTATCTGACTTTTAGTATTACAGTTAAACATGAACTGAACATTTTTAATGTTTTATTTTATTAAAAAGCCCCAATTGCAATTTAAATTAAATTGAGCTCTACTCCGAACAGCTCCCTTAATTCGAACCATTTGCTGAACTAGTTCGATAGGCACGGTTTTGTCGTGGCCTGGTAACTCTGGCAAAAAGCACCAGATGAACCGCGCGAACCGGTTCAGTTCAAAACTAGTTCGCCCGAACTGCACAACCCTAGCAAAAGAAATAGCTTAAATATAATTTATTTAACGCGAATTGGACAGCGAGCGGGTAGAAAACACGCTGTGGCAGCCGCAACCGCCGCCCTCGCAGAATACACAGCTCTTCGCCGTCGGGCATGCAGGTAAAAACAAATCGGAATTGGAGTTGACCGCAGAACAACAGCAACGGCAGACGCCATTTTGTCTATTGGCCGGCTGATTTGTAAGCTCAATATTCGCGAAATAGTTACCGCGACTAGCTTAGAGTGCGCAGCCAACTAAGGGCTCCCCGTTGTCCAGACCAGAAGCGAAAGGAAGAGCAATCGCCTATTTTGGGGCCTGCAAAAAGTTGGGACTCGGTCGTTGGTTCGCTCAATTCCATTTGCGAAAAATAAATGTACGTGCGCGTGAGGAAGTGTGTGTGCGCGTGTGTGTGAGTCAGGGGCCAGTGAAAAGCAGTGAAAAATAATAAAAAGCCGCACTGGCTGCCGTCCTTGGGTGACTTCCGTTAATCTCTCGCAACTCTCAAAGTGATAGAAAGAAAGTGAGAGACCTACCGCCCCCGACACACCCTTTAAACCACTAATTTTGGCATCTTTTTAAGACTTTATGCGTAGTTATTTTCACCACCCTTCGCTCACACCCTTCCCCGCCCCTTTTTCCTCCAGTTGCTCCCACCCACCGACCGACATTCCGCTTATGGATGATGCCGGGCGGAGAGGAATAGAGAGCGAGTGGAAAATCCGTAGACTTGGACGTGATGTAATTTTCGGCAGAAAAATGTTCTTTGTTTGCCCAAAAAATAACAATAAATAAATAAGAATAAAGAGCGAGGCGTAAAACAAAAACAATTTTAAATTTAATTCAAACGCACACACGAAAAGAGAGCGTTCTGTGTTGATGATGGTGAGCGTGCGTGTGTGTGGGTGAGAGCGTAATTTGTGTGCTTTTGGAGCATTATTTGGCGCTTGCTGCCCCGTCTATTAAATAATATTGATTTTTCATATTCCAACCCAGCGCTCTCTTACACACACGCAGGACCACTCACACACCCAAACCCTTGTGCATACGTATGTGTGCCTTTTCGGTCTCTCTTTTAGCACTGTATTTATCTGCCTCTCCTTGCCTCTTTCGCTTCGTTGCAGTTTATAGATTTTTGCAAACTGTGGCCGCTGACCAGGAATATGTAAACGCAACGAAGGAGCCAGTTCTTATTGGGAAAAAGGACAATAAGAGGGAGCCCAGAGCTAGAAGTCCAACCAACCGACCAACTGTGCCTCAAGAAACAGCAAATCAGCGGGGAAACTCCCAAACTGGACAAGAAGAAACCCGGATACCTCACAACTGCCATAAGACACCAGCCAAAAAACGCCGCCCAGTGCAGACTGCATTAGGATTAGCCAGGCACTAGAGCTCGTGCATTAACATCCGCTTCCGGTGCTCCGCAGAACGAGTTGGCTGGAGAGGATACCCCGCCACCATGACGTTCGACACGCGTAGGCACACAGCCGGACAGCCGGGAAGCACAGCGACCAGCTCAAGCAGCAGCACCACCAGCACAGCAACCACCACAACGAGTCCGGCGCAGAGTTCCGGATCAGGATCGGTCATAGGATCAGGAACAGGAACAGTCGCCACCTCGAGTCTGCCAGGAGGAGGGTCAGGTAGCTTGGACGGCAACCAGGAGCAACAGCCGGCGACAGGCAGTCAGAGCTCTGATGACGTAGCCGCTTCCTTGTCAGCGAATAGCGTGGACAGCACCATCACACTAGTGTAAGTGGACGTGTCGTCGGATTTGCATGACTCCGCCCAATTAGCCGGGTTTTGTGCGTAGCACCACTAGAACCACCACCCCTAAAGACCCCCAACATCGAGTGTTCGTGTGTTTACTTTTGCGCAGTAATTCCTCCACCTGCATTCTTTGTTTGTCTAGGGTTGGGCCTGCACAATAGCCGTAATTCATTTAACTATGTTTCAGCTGACTTTGGCCAGGCTATTTAGGACGAAGTCTAACAGCTTAAGAAAACTAGTATTTCTCAGATGTACCACAACCAAAAAGCTGGCCCACAATGCGGCAGTAAATGTTATCTTCTTCGATAAGTGCACTTTGTTGCTTTCCAGTTTTACCAATGAACCCACCAAGCTTTGTTAATGTTGCTTTACCAGGCTATTATCATCTCATTTGGAATGCCTGTCCACGCCTTATCTTGTCGTTTGTCCGTTAAGATTAGCTGACAGTGAAAATGCTACAAATAAATATCTATGCGTTTTGGCATTTATTTTCATAGAAATTACCAGTTTAATGAATTCATTTAAAAAACAGAAAGAGGTTATGAATATGCTGTTGGACGTGCAGCCAATGGCACTTAATCTTACTGACTTCCTTAAAAACGTTTTATTTTTGTCTATTATTTATTTTGATATTGTATTCATGATTTTGATTCAAATTAATCCATTTTTCATTTTATCCGGCAGGCCTCCAGAGAAGCTTATATCCTCGTTTCCCACAACGAAGCTGAGATCACTAACGCAAAAGATATCCAATCCACGTTGGGTGGTGCCCGTGCTGCCTGAACAGGAATTGGAGGTTCTTTTAAATGCAGCCATCGAGCTGACCCAGGCTGGTAAGTGAGTTCAGGCGTTTTATTTGATACCATCTAAATGCAATCCATTTGCAGGTGTGGATCACGACTGCGAGCCATGTGTGGAGTTTTATCGCAATGGACTGAGCACTTCATTTGCCAAGATCCTGACTGACGAGGCGGTGAATTCGTGGAAGAATAACATCCACCACTGTATCCTTGTGTCTTGCGGCAAGCTTCTGCATCTAATCGCCATCCACATGCAGCGAGACAATCCCTACCTGCTTGACCTGCTGGCTATTGTTTTTGATCCGGAGAACAAGTTCAACACATTCAACGCAGCCCGTCAGCCGGAGTGCTTCGCAGCACCGGACTACATCTGGGGTCAGTTGGACAGCAACAAGATGTACGCCCGTCCGCCGGCGGAGCCCAAGAATGCGCGCGGCTGGCTTGTGGATCTCATTAACCGTTTTGGCCAGTTGGGAGGCTTTGACAATCTACTGGAACGGTTTAACAGCGGACTGGAACTGCTGAAGCGCAACCAAAACAAGTGCACTGGCAAGAATGTTGGTGTCGAGGGTAGTGTTGAAAATGGGGGCCAGGATAATCGCCTCACCCTTGCCCTCATTCACAGCCTCTTGCGTCCATTTGGTCAATGCTATGAGCTCCTAACGCCCGCCACTATCTCCAAGTACTTCATGCCCACCTGGAACGTGGTGTTAGACCTTTTGGACAGCTTCACAGACGAAGAGTTAAAGCGAGAAGTGAAACCCGAGGGACGCAATGACTACATCAATGGGATTGTAAAGTCGGCCCGCTTTCTGGCCAGTCGCTTGTCTGGCCAGGAGGAGCTGATCCGGGATCTGGAGATGTTTCGCTTGAAGATGATACTGCGCCTGCTGCAGGTGTCCAGCTTTAACGGCAAGATGAATGCCCTCAATGAGATCAACAAGGTGCTCTCCTCGGTGGCATATTACTCCCATCGATCCCAACCCTTGCCCCACTGTATGCCCGAAGACGAAATGGACTGGTTGACGGCGGAGCGCATGGCGCAATGGATAAAGTCGTCAGATGTCTTGGGTATCGTACTCAAGGACTCGCTCCACCAACCGCAGTATGTGGAAAAATTGGAGAAGATCATCCGCTTTCTTATAAAAGAGCAGGCACTGACATTGGATGATTTGGATGCAGTTTGGAGAGCGCAGGCCGGCAAGCACGAGGCCATCGTGAAGAACGTTCACGATCTACTGGCCAAACTTGCATGGGACTTTACTCCCGAACAACTGGACCACCTCTTCGAGGCGTTCCAGGTGAGTTTTCTGCTATTAAAATGTATTATGTACATTTAGTTTTAAATTTTGATTCATACATATTCTTTGAACTGACCATACCATATTAAATTTAATTTCAGGCCAGCATGACCACGGCCAATAAGCGGCAACGGGAAAGACTTCTTGAGCTGATACGCCGCTTGGCTGAGGATGACAAAAATGGTGTGATGGCCCAAAAGGTGCTCAAGCTGTTTTGGACGCTGGCCCACAGTCAGGAGGTGCCGCCAGAGGTGCTCGATCAGGCGCTGGGCGCACACGTTAAAATCTTGGACTACAGCTGCTCGCAGGAGCGGGATGCCCAAAAGACCATTTGGTTGGATAAGTGCGTTGGCGAACTAAAGTCAGGAGATGCATGGGTTCTGCCCGCCTTGCGTCTAATTCGGGATATATGTTGCCTATATGATACCACGCCGAATCATGCCCCGCGCACTCAAACGGGTACAAATCGTCAGCAGGTGATTGAACGACTGCAGAATGATTATTCCTTGGTCATTCTGGTCACCAATAGCTTGACTGCATACATGGAAAGGGTGCGCCAAATGGTAACCGACTCACCGGGCTTGGAAGCAACCAAAATCCTAATTGACGGTAGATTTCCGCACCACGCGCAAATAGCAGAGCGGCTGGAGTTCCTTAAGTTCCTGCTGAAAGACGGACAGCTCTGGTTGTGCGCAGATCAGGCAAAGCAGATTTGGCATTGCTTGGCGGTAAATGCCGTTTTTCCGGCAGATCGTGAGGAGTGTTTTAGATGGTTTGGCAAGTTAATGGGTGAGGAGCCTGACTTGGATCCTGGCATCAACAAAGACTTCTTTGAGAACAACATTCTGCAACTCGATCCGCATCTGCTCACCGAAAGCGGAATCAAGTGCTTTGAGCGCTTCTTCAAGGCGGTCAACTCGAAAGAGGACAAGCTGAAGGCGATACATGGAGGTTACATACTGGACAACGAGGATCTTATAGGCAAAGACTACTTGTGGCGAGTCATCACAACCGGAGGCGAGGAAATCGCCAGCAAGGCCATTGATCTACTTAAGGAAGTGTCCACGGCATTGGGTCCACGTCTGCAGGAGAATATCGCGGAGTTTCACGAAATGTTCATCGGTGAGTGCTGCTCCCGCCTGCGCACACACTATGAAAACATCGTTATTTTGGGCAAGACGCAACTGCAGGAGGAGCTGGATGCACCCGATCAGTCGGATAATGCAAACGACGAATCGAAAGACTCAAAAATGCGTTTCATCGAGGCGGAGAAGATGTGCCGAATTCTAAAGGTGCTGCAAGAATACGTGAAGGAGTGCGATCGTTCCTTCAGCGGCGATCGCGTTCACCTGCCACTTAGCCGGGTTACACGGGGCAAAAACACCAGCTTGTATATCCGCTTCCAGAACCCCGGCAGACCCATCGACGACATGGAGATCGTTACACACAGCAACGAGACGATGGCCGCTTTCAAGAGAAGTCTACTTAAGCGAATCAAGGGCACTTCGACGACCAACATTAAGGTTGATCTCTTCTATACTAATGGCGAGATGATCGAAGTTTCCGATGAAATAAACCCACTCTATCAGTACACAATCCGGGATAAGATGATTCTAACAGCAAAACTCACGCCCGTGGGCACGGGCCTAGCCAGCAGTCCCGACTCCTCGAGCGACTCGAGCACAGGATCTCCTCCGCGTCCCTGCCCTGACATGCAGCGCGTGGAGTCAGAGAGCACACTGCCTGGCGTGATCATCTCGCAAAACTACCAGTACACTGAGTTCTTTTTAAAACTCTACCAGCTGGGCAGTGATCTCGAGCACGGTCGTCTTCGAGACAGTGCCAAAGTATTACTGCACTTGCTCCCCTGCGACCGCCAGACGATGCGCCAGCTACAGATGATGTGCAAGGTGCCGAAGGCAGCCGTAACGGTGGCTGCGACTGGTGAGAAGATCGCCAAGGACGAGGAGGAGAAAGCAAACCCCACTGAGCAGACGGGGATGGAAGCTGAAGAGGTAAGATTATAGTTACTCGTTCAGGAAATTTAAATTTAAAGTTCATTATGTGCATTGTCTACATTAATCTCTAATTAACTCTTCCTTCTAGGAACATTGCACGCCGGAGCAGATGTTTTTGCATCCCACACCTGCTCAAGTGCTGTACAACCTCAGTGTGTTGCACGGACTGCTGATTCCCGCGCTGGATCCACTAGGAGAAAGTGCTCTACTAGTGCAGTCTGCATGGATGCATTCAGGTTGCGCTCATTTCGTGCTGGAACTGTTGACCAAAAACAATTTTCTGCCCAGCGCCGATATGCACACAAAGCGTGCGTCCTTCCAGTGCGTGTTGAGGTTGGCAAAGCTCTTCTTGTACATAGTTGGCAGTGTATTGTCTCGTGTAGGCGATGAGCCCATGATCTGCGACCTTGACAACGGATCCCGTTCCCAGGTTGACATCCTGAAGCAGAACTTTTCGACGATGCCCAACAGCTCGCAGGGAACATTGCGGGCGATCTCTGCGAAACTGGCTGTGATGCTTGCCCGCGAGATGCTTTCAGCCAGCCAGGAAGGTGATCGGTGCCGAACGCTATTCAGCTCCACACTGCAGTGGTCATGTCCAGACATTTCAACCATTAAGGCGGTGGTGCAACTGGCTTGGGCCTCGTCTTGCGGCAATCTTCAGGCTCTAGGCAGCAGTAGCGGCGACTTTGAAGACGAGGTGATTGTGCCGGACGGGCAAGACTTTAGCATGTGCAAGGAGGCGCTAGAGGTTCTCACCATTTCGTTTATTCTGAATCCGAGTGCCAACGAGGCGTTGACCAGCGATCCGAACTGGCCAAAGTTCATCACCTCTATTGTTCTGAAGAACCCGCTTCGCCACGTGCGCCAGGTGGCCTCTGAGCAGTTGTTTCTGGCTTCTACCTACTGCGCTGGTGACCGGCGACCATTCGTCTACATGGTCAACTTGCTGGTGGGCGCGTTGAAGACGCTGGTTCCCCAGTACGAGGCTACTTGCGCCGAGTTCTTCTCGGTGCTGTGTCGGACCCTTTCCTATGGATGCATCTACAACTGGCCGCTGCAGATTAGCGAGGGATTGTTAGGCGATGAGATTAAGTGGCTGCAACGCATTCGGGAAAACGTCCATGCCACCGGCGACACACAAGTGCATGAGGAGCTCCTTGAAGGCCACCTCTGCCTAGCCAAAGAGCTAATGTTTTTCCTTGCCGCCGATTCAAAGGCGCAGCTTAACGAGCTCATCCACGAACTGATCGACGACTTCCTCTTCACGGCCTCTCGCGAATTTCTGCATTTACGGCGTCACGGCAGTCTACGGCAGGACACCGTCCCACCGCCGGTTTGTCGCAGTCCGCACACAATCGCCGCTGCCTGCGATCTCCTCATTGCCTTGTGCCAGCTCTGTGTTCCTAATATGAAGCTACTCACCAATACACTCATAGACTTCGTCTGCACGGGTAAGGACTCAACTCGCTTAATCCTTGCCTAATTTAATGTTTCCTCAATTTCTCGCAGATACTGATCCGTTGCGCGAATGGGATTACCTGCCGCCGGTGGGCGCCAGGCCAACCAAAGGTTTCTGCGGACTCAAGAACGCCGGTGCCACTTGCTACATGAATTCGGTGTTGCAGCAGCTTTACATGGTGCCAGCGGTCCGCGTGGGTATCCTGCGAGCCCATGGCGCTGCCACCACCGACGGCGAGGATTTCAGTGGCGATTCCGATTTACCGGCCCTATTCTCGGGTCCCGCTTCTGCCCTAGTCACGCTGTCCTTGTCGTCGGCGACTATCGAAGACGGCTTGCAGGATGTGCGAAAGAACTATCACGTCGTGATCCTGAAGCATGTGCAGGCCATATTCGCTCACCTGGGCCACAGTGCGTTGCAGTTTTACGTTCCCCGTGGTCTCTGGACGCATTTCAAGTGAGTACAAAATTGTTCATTGATTGTCATCACAATGATATTAATTCATTATATTTCTTTGTTCGCCAGGCTGCAGGGAGAGCCCGTGAATCTTCGAGAGCAACAGGATGCCGTGGAGTTCTTCATGTCCTTGTTTGAAAGTCTCGATGAGGGACTTAAGGCGCTAGGCCAGCCACAGCTTATGAATGCCACTCTGGGCGGCTCGTTCAGCGACCAGAAAATCTGCCAAGAGTGTCCCCATCGCTACTCCAAAGAGGAACCATTTAGTGTATTTAGTGTCGATATTAGGAATCATAGCTCATTAACCGAATCTCTGGAGCAGTACGTCAAGGGAGAGCTGCTCGAGGGAGCCGATGCATACCATTGTGATAAATGTGATAAAAAAGTAATGTATTCTCACCTCTGGTATTCAAATACAGTTCATTTGTACTAATATCATTTTTTGTGGCCAACAGGTAGTTACCGTTAAGCGACTGTGCGTTAAGAAGCTGCCACCCGTGTTAGCCATTCAACTAAAGCGCTTCGAATACGACTACGAACGCGTCTGTGCGATTAAATTTAATGATTATTTTGAATTTCCGCGTATCTTGGATATGGAACCATACACAGGTGAGTTCAACCCTATTCCATACCTATAGATTTTCTAATTGCGTCTTCTCCTCCACGATCAGTGTCTGGCCTAGCTAAGCTAGAGGGCGAGGTGGTGGAAGTGGGTGATAATTGTCAAACAAACGTTGAGACGACAAAGTACGAACTGACCGGCATTGTGGTGCACAGCGGACAGGCCTCCGGCGGTCACTACTTCAGTTACATACTCTCCAAGTGAGTTCCATAAGAATATAGCTGTTTCCTGGGGACTAATTCAATGCTACCCCTCCTCCAGAAATCCAGCGAACGGCAAGTGTCAGTGGTATAAGTTTGACGACGGTGAAGTCACCGAGTGCAAAATGCACGAGGACGAGGAAATGAAGGCGCAGTGCTTTGGCGGCGACTACATGGGCGAAATTTACGACAACAATCTTAAGCGCATGCAGTACCGTCGGCAGAAGCGCTGGTGGAACGCCTACATGTTGTTCTACACCCGCTGTGATCAAACTCCCGTGCAGTATGAGCCCAGCGTGGAGCAGTTGTCGCTCACAGAGAGTCGGAACATGGTTTTACCCTTGCCAAAGCCCATTGAGCGCAGCGTGCGGTAAGTCGAAATGTTGACCACTGACCACTGTACTGTTATTTATAATTATTTTTTCGATTTTCCGATTGCAGGCACCAGAACATTCGGTTTCTCCACTCCCGAAGCATTTTTTCCGTGGAGTTCTTTAACTTCATCAAAAAGTTGGTCAGCTGCAATATACCCTCGGCACGGAGCGATAAGATTGTACGTTTGTATGAAGTGATTTTATTTCCCGCTTAACAAAGGTATTTTGTAACAGACTCCAGCTGCAGAGGAGCTTTCACTGCTGGGCGTGCAATTAGCATCGCAGTTTCTTTTCCACACCGGCTTCCGCACGAAAAAGTCTCTGCGTGGCCCTGTCATTGAATGGTGAGTAGCTTAAGAGGTATTGACCCGGATCTGACCCGACTTCATCTTCTAACTGACAGGTATGACGCGCTCTCACACCACATACGTTCCTCGACACTAGTTCGCAAGTGGTTCGCCAATCATGCGCTCCTCTCGCCGCCATCGCGCTTGGGCGAGTACATTCTGATGGCTCCGTCTCCGGAGGTGCGTACCGTCTTTGTCAAGTTGGTAGTTTTCTTCTGCCATTTCGCCATCAACGATGAACCTCTGACTGGCTACGACGGCGCTAATCTCTGCGAGCAGGTACTCATCAGCGTGCTGCGCCTCTTGAAATCCGAGGCAGCCGACTATGGCAAGCACCTGCCCCACTATTTTAGCCTTTTCAGTATGTACGTGGGACTAGGCACACGAGAAAAGCAGCAACTGCTCAGGGTGAGAACTGCTTACAATAGTATTGCTAGCCATTATAAACGATTGTGTTCGTTTGCAGCTCAATGTGCCGCTGCAGTTCATTCAGGTGGCATTGGACGATGGCCCCGGTCCGGCAATAAAATACCAGTATCCAGAGTTCAGTAAGCTGCACCAAGTGGTTTCGCACCTAATACGCTGCAGCGATGTAAGCGAAAAATGCCAGAGCTCCAACCAGAACGCCCGTCCACTGCCCAATCCGTTCAAAGATCCCACTGTAGCGCACGAGGAGCTGACGCCCCTGTCTACTGAGTGCATGGACTTGCTCTTTAACCGCACGGGGTAAGGTGTAGGCATTATACTGATATTTGTTATCTGTTCATATCTGTTCATAGACCATTTTAGGCCACTTACTTATGAAAGAAACGTCCAGTGAGTGCTTATGATATTGTTTTTTTTTTAGCTACATCAAGAAGGTGATCGAAGACACAAACGTGGGTGACGAGGGTCTGAAGCTGTTGCAATACTGCAGCTGGGAGAATCCACACTTCTCACGCGCAGTGCTAACCGAATTGTTGTGGCAGTGTGGATTCGCCTATTGCCACGACATGCGGCACCACACTGATCTGCTTCTGAACATCCTGCTGATCGACGACTCGTGGCAGCACCATCGCATACACAATGCTCTCAACGGAGTGGCTGAGGAGCGCGAGGGTCTGCTGGAGACGATACAGCGGGCGAAGACGCACTACCAGAAGAGGGCGTACCAAATAATCAAGTGCCTGACGCAGCTGTTCCACAAGTCGCCGATTGCGCTGCAGATGCTCAACACGAACCAGAACATAAGCCGGCACTGGAGCATTGCAGTAGAGTGGCTGCAAGACGAACTGGAACGACAACGCGGCATCGGTTGCCAGTACAATTCTTACTCGTGGTCGCCTCCGGCGCAGAGCAACGACAACACTAATGGCTACATGCTAGAGCGATCGCAGTCCGCCAAGAACACGTGGACCATGGCTTTCGAGCTCTGTCCAGATGAAGTCAGCGAAAAAACGGTACCTCAAACGTAACAATTACATTTAAGAACACATTTTTCTAACGAACGTTCTTGCCTGAATAGGATGAAAACAATGAGTCGGACTTGGAGGCGAACCTGGATGAAAACAAATCGGAACAGGTGGCTCAGCCAGGAGCAGTGCATGAGGGATCTACCGGCGGCACGGAGCAGTTGGCCGAAAGCAAGACACCTACCACGAACAGTCCGTCTACCGCCGCTTGGCCAGTGCGCGTGGATAGCAACGCCATTCCACGGCTTTCGCGGCAGCTCTTTGGGGCTTACACGTCGACTGGCAGTGGTTCCACTAGTGGAATTACCGCGCCCACTTCCGCCTTGACGACAACGGCGGGTAGTGGGGCCAACAGCGAAACGGAAAGCAGTGCCCAGGAGACAACCGGCGAGACGACCATTAACGGTCTGACAAACAGCCTGGACCAAATGGAGATAACGGCCAAAAAGGTAACTAGGGCGAACGATGTCTAGGACAGTAGTCCCTCTATAAAGTGTGTCCGTTGCCGCAAAGGAAGTCTTCGAGACGTCTTAATACCAGTCCCAGAAAACTATAACACACAATAAACACATTTTACACTGGAACTCCAATCTGTATCTTTCTATCTGTCTCCTTCAACACTTGTTTACTAGATATAAAGTCGAACAAAACATGTCCTCCCAATGTCCTTAACCATTTATTTTTATGTTTACTGAAATGAAAATTTACTATGTCCTGAAACGAGAACGGTGACTAAAATAAAAATATTGGTTCGCAAGGACTGTGCACCCTTCGGTTTTCGAAGATCGACCACCTCTTCTCTTATTTTAACTCTTCTTAATATTTCTACCCTACTACACCATCACCCTCGGTTACCCTTGCTGCGTTTCGGTGTTTCGGTGTAATCCTTTCTCGTATTCGCATCGTAACCACAAACGCAGGGTGTGCGAAGTCGGTCCAAAGGAGGCAAGCTCCCGCCGGTGCTGTTTCACCATCACCAGTTGCCGTCAGAGCAGCAACTCAAGCTGAAGCAGCAACAACAGCAGCAGCAGCAACAGCAGCAGCAACTACGTGGTGATATAAGCAAGAGTTCCTCAAGCCGCTTAATTTGATTTGCCGCCAAGTTAGTTAGAGTTGTTTCGTTTGAGCTCAATACGCCCGCCTTACTTTGTGTTTGTTGTTTTCACGATCCCGCCACAAATGAGATGCACTTGCCCCGGGATCTTCCCCGGATCTGTCTACCCTTTGGCTTTTCATTTTCTGTTACTGCAAGTTTCCTCTACTCACCCAAGCAAAACCACGCACGCCACATTCAATCTACACACAAGATCACAGGGGTCCAACCAATTTGAATGCCAATAAATTATCCAAAGCTAGTTCAAAAGCTATCGCTCAGCTTCTTGGTTCGAAATTGTATATTACACTTTTTTTTAAATAAAAACTAAGAGTGATTTCTAATCTGTGAAACTAAAAAATCATTGTTTTTGTGGATGTTTATTGAAAAGATTTAATGACATAATACTGATTATGCTGATAAATTATTGGTAATATGCCGTGTAATAAAGTCAGTGTATGTACTTAGTTTAAGGAAGATGTCTTCGATAAAAGCTCATGACAAAGTGTTTTAGGGTTTGAGATAGTGAGACATTATATTAAGATCCACTCGAAGCAAGATTGCATTACTGCTTAGCTGGCACCCGTAGCACTGGGCGATCGATTGTCAACCTCCACTAACAGATCTCTTTTTGTTGACCATTCGCAGAAGTGCCGCAGGGTGATAATAAGAAAGCTAGTGGAAAGTAAGGACGAAGAAGACGCAACTACCGCTACCACGGCGGCCACGGTGGCCACCACAGAGGTCACAACATCGCCAGCGACTGCTATCCCAACGGCAGCAACTTCAACACCTGCCACAACAGCAGCTACAGCAACGGGAACAGGATCGGATTCCGGAACGAGCGAGCTCCCGACGATGACAGAGAAAAACTTAATATAAAGCCGAGAAAAATCCACAAACGAAAAGTTCTTTGCAATAAAATGTATTCGCAACCTAACACGCGGAGCAGCTGATGATGAGTATCCATAGTGTTAAAGTAACCAAAGCAGCCTGACAATGAGAGCGGTGTGGACAGGTGTTTACTAGTGGGGTTCCCGCCGTCGAAAACGAGACTTAATGGGTAAATATGCGAAGTAGAGCAGAATCCGTAGATATTAACAAATGATACTTGGTTGGAGCGATGCGAGTCAAAGAACGAATGTCTGTAGGGCAGGTCATAACCAGCAGGGTATAACCAGCAGAGGTGTTTAGTAGCTATCGAACTTTATAATTACCTTAAATAATAAACAAATACACCAGTTTTTTGTTTTGTTTTCTGTTTAGTTAACCATTAAAAGGGATATGTTTATTTCTCCTCATTGTAAATATATCCCTTTTAATGCATAAATCTGAAATAAAATAAAAGGACACCTTAAACAAACTCCCCACAACACTTTACAGAAACGGACGCAGACAAAGAAACACACTCATAATCTATAAGAAGCGTTAAGTTGCACGTTTACAGTACCATATAATTGTATTTATATAGTATATAAATGATGTATTACGTATTGAAGCCGAGCAACACTTACTATACTAACCGAAAAAAATCAAAACGATGCAACATAGATACGATACTAGGAAAAACTAATCGAAACGAATCGGCTGATTGTAAGAATTAGGGCAAGAAACCAAATTGCATCTTTAGTACTCAGTACTCGCCTCTGAAACTGTTTCCATAATCATATTTCAACAGCATAAACCAAGTTGATGGCATGCTAAATCAAAACAAAACAGTATAAACTCAAGAGCAGAATGGACTAAAGCAACACGAGCATAAAGAAAACTTGATTATGGTTATAAGTACATATATTTTAAATGATTAGTGTTTTGTATTAAGTGAAATTTGTTAAACATTTATTAAATTATTATGTTCTAAGTTGCGAAATAAATGCGAAGTGTAAGCAAAGTACGCAATGTCATTCATGCCTTCTCTCAGTTTCCGTTTCCGTTTCCGTTGACCGACAGCAAACCACTCGAAGTCAAACTTATATGTCGCAACATTTTGTACGGAACTCAATTTAAAATTATGTATTCATAAAGATTTATCACATTTGGGAAATGAATGTTCGAGAAAATGAATATCCGTATACAGCCATTAAAATTCAGCGAAAATGAAACAAATAAATCACTTTTTAAAACCATTACCCTTGGCTATCTCACTCGCCTGCAAAAACCATTCTGGGTTAACAGTTTTAAGACGTTTAATGGGTCAAAGATAACGAAATTCCATTAGATGGACAGCTTTTTACTTAACGATAATAAATGCACTTCGTGATCCCTGAAGCAAAAGCAGGCTAATCAATATTTAGAATACAATCTTGTTTATAAATGCAACAACTCTCTGGTACGTTTCGAAGCAAATCATTTTACTTGGCAACCTCCTCGTCGACGAATGTAATCACGGCCGCTCCCTTAGCCACGTTGTCGCCCTCGGCTCCGCCGATAGACTTGATAGTGGCGTCCTTGGGAGCTTTTAGAATGTGTTCCATTTTCATGGCTAAAATGCAAAAAAAAATGTAAAAAGAAATGCATAATCTCAATTTATATTTTCTTACCAATAAGCACGGCCAAGTGTTCGCCCTTCTTGACCTGGTCACCGGGTTTTACCAGCACCTTCTCTAAAATGCCGGGCATGGGAGCCACTACGCGGGAACCACCTGCACCAAGTTGATCGGCCTGAGCACTTAAGAATTTCGGCTGCGCTAGCTCAAAATCGACCTTGCCACTCTGGGAAAGGTAAATACAATTAATTAAATACAAAGTACTACCAATTGAAAAGTCGATTCTTACTTCCAAAAACAAGCAGACAGAAGTGCCATCAATACTGGCATTATAAGTGGTGATGTTGCTATTGATATTGGCACGAATTTTCAGGCGACTTTCATCCTGCACTCTCTCGGCCTTTACCACCTGCCAGTCGCCATTATCCACCTGAATTTGTACATCTTCGCCATCAAACTTGACAGCCACAGAATAGACTGAAAGATTAGATCAGCTCACAAATTTGATTTAAAATTTATGTATATCGTTTACCCTTCTCATTGGCTTTTAAGTGATATCTGCGAACCAAAGAGTAATTAAGACGAGCGTTAGGGGTGGCGGCAAATGGATCCTGATCTTTCTTTCCATTCCTAAAGGCTGCCTGCAACTCGTTGAAGACTAGCGCCAATGCAGCTTGGCTGACTTGCTGCGGACTGATGACAATTGGCGGAAATAGCGTATCGAACTGCTCCTCGATAAAGCCAGTGTGCACATTGGCCAGCTGAAACTCAGGATGCGATGCAAGGTCGATGAGGAATTTGATGTTAGTGTCCAGACCAGATATCTAAATTTGGTTTAGCTTTAGAGAAATGTTTTCAGGGTAAAAAATTGTCAATGTTCTCACATGATATTCACCCAGTCGGGCAACCAAGGAGTTTAGCGCTTGCGTGCGGTTTTCGCCCCAAACGACTAGCTTGGCAATCATGGGGTCGTAGTGCACAGACACCTCATCTCCTTCCCGAACACCGGTCTCCACGCGAACGTTGTTTGATGGTTGGGGAGTAGTCAAATAGCGCAGAGGTCCGGCTCCGGGCAGGAAGCCTCCGCGAGGATTTTCCGCATAGATGCGCGCTTCAAATGCGTGGCCACGCCGTGTAATCTCAGATTGCTTCAGGGGTAACGGCTCACCGGCGGCAATGCGAATCTGCCATTCAACCAAATCGGTGCCCGTAATCATTTCCGTAATTGGATGCTCCACCTGCAGGCGGGTATTCATTTCCATAAAGTGAAAAGAGAGATCTTCTTTGTCTAGAATGAACTCCACAGTGCCGGCTCCAACGTAACCCACAGCTTTCGCTGCACGAACAGCAGCCTCGCCCAGCTCACGACGCAAATCTTCCGACAAGCCTGGCTGTTGGATACATAAGCATTATTTTTTAATCCAGCCGAAGCTATAGCACTATAGTGCACTTACAGCTGGCGCCTCTTCAATAATCTTTTGATGACGTCTTTGCACGGAGCAGTCTCTTTCCCAAAGATAGACAGCATCGCCATACTGGTCCGCAAACACTTGAACCTCTACGTGGCGTGGAGATCGGACGTACCGTTCAAGAAGCACGGAGCTGTCGCCAAACGACTTCTCGGACTCGGTGCGAGCCGAGTTGAGAGCGGTGAGGAAGTCGTCCCGCTTTTCAGCGATTCTCATGCCCTTGCCTCCGCCGCCGCGGACGGCCTTAATCATCAAGGGAAAGCCAATGATGTCGGCTTCTCGCTGCAAGCACTCATCCGACTGATCCTCGCCATGGTATCCATTGATGATCGGCACTCCTGCAGCGGCCATTATGGCCTTGCTGGTGCTCTTAATGCCCATGTCCCGGATGGCGGAACTGGGCGGACCCATGAAGATGATGCCCTCACGCTGGCACAACTCGGCGAACTCGACGGACTCGGAGAGGAAGCCATAGCCCGGGTGGATGGCCTGGGCGCCCGACCGCTTGGCTATGTCCAGGATGCGTTCACCGCGAAGATAAGAAGCGGAGGAGGCAGCTTCTCCCACGCGGTACGCCTCGTCCGCCAACTGCGTGTGCAGGCTCTTCTCGTCCGGATCCGAGAACACGGCCACTGTGCGAACTCCCAGCTTGCGCGCGGTTCGAATCACTCTGACTGCGATCTCACCACGATTTGAAATGAGGATCTTGCTGATCGGTCGAACTTTTGGACTGGCTTCTGTTGCAAAGCACCTGCGTCAAGCCAAAACAAATTAGTAGGTAGGTTTATGTAATCGTCGAGCGCGAAATAAGTATATTGCTCTAGCGGCATTAACAACGCACTGCTGATCATTTCCGTTTCCCTCACCTGACATTAGTGCCCAAGTTTCGCAGCAGCCTCGCGTACATTTTTACTAGATTTAAATGCAATTATAAATACAAAATACAGTTTATTTAGAGCAAGTGTGCGATCTTCGCTTATCACAGCTGGAAACACAAGCACACACATACACACACACACAAGCGCGCAATTGAGATGGGCGACCCCCGAGATGCACGGCCACAGATATTGTATTTAACTTTTCTTCATTTCATAAATATTTTTAAGGAAAGTGATATTATTTCTAGTTTGCTCCTTGCTAAAAGTGCTAACCCTTTAAAATATATCCGTTACTTTATTCTCTACTACTTATCGAACTATCGACTTCCATCCGACCGCGTCTTTACGGTTTTCTGCGCTCGTGCGGTTCGGTAACATCTTTCGCAAAAACTCGATAGGCGATAGTTGAATGTCGAAGAGCGATAGGCCCCAAAATATGCGCGTGAAAATAGTTTGTGCGCTAGAAAATAGACGGATATAAGGAGTTGATGCTGAGGAAGCCAGCCATAAACATAGTGCAAATTGCCGGAATAGTGTCGTCCGCCGACAGTTTGTAAAATTGGGTTGGAACTCAACGCGCTGATCGCTGGAAAACCGTTTGCATCGAAAGCCCCTCCGGAAAGGCGTGAAAATTTGGGCGCCTTTTGCGCTAGTCGCTTGGCGTTGTAAAATTTATCAGTTGCGCCGCGGTTATTTTTATTGTGAAGTATTAGCCGTGTGCTTCCAAGGACTGTCATTAAAAATTTGGGACATTCAAAAGCAAGAAATCAACAAACATGCCCATTTGCAAGCGGGAAGGATTCGACCTGAATCAGAAGGAGGGCAAGAACGAAACATTCCACGACAACGACCAGGTCTTCTGCTGCTACATTACAAAGCGCATTTTCCGCGACTATGAGTAAGTGCATCCTGCTACCATTCCTGCAACTGCCCCTCCCCTTCTCCTGCCTTTCGGTTTTCGGTGGACGCTGCGCTAAAGTATACAACAAAAGCGACGCTGCAAAAGCATTTGCACACTATGTACCGTACATCAGCATTCAGCGTGTGTGTGTGTGTCGCAGGGGTGCATTAGTGTGCGAGTCTCGTGGGCCAAAGGCAAAAAACGCTGTTCGGTGGCGGGAAGAAATTACAGCTGCCGCCGCACAGCTGCTCGCAGCGGAGTTGCCACCTGGCGCCGAACAGAGCGCGCTCTCTTGAATTTTGAATTTGTTGACCCAATTCGATCTATGCGTGCTGTTTCGTCGTTAAGATCAACAATCTTGAAGACGCTGAGTATCTATATTCTATTATAATAGATAACTAAAAGCAACGTACTTAATTCGTTTAAATCTTTTGAATTCCGTCCTTTAAGTTCAGAAGCTTGAGCTATATCAAAATAAATAGTAAAACCTATTTACTGAATCGTATTTGAGTCAGAATCTTATGTAGCTAAACCCCTTGGCAGAGAGAACTGTATCAATCACACTGACCGACTGATTTTCTTTATCCAGGAACTACTTCCGGCATGTAATGGTGATCAACTCGACCGTGTGGCAGTGCGAGGCCACCGGCAAGGAGAACCTCACCTTCGAGGAGGCGGTCAAAAGTGAGCGGGCAGCCCGCAAGAAGATGGAGCAGTTCAAACAGAGCCTTCGGGCACCCGTCCTCCTGGTTGTGGAGCACGCCCACCAGTCGGCGGTCAACACCTTGAACATGATAGTGGCCAAATTCCTGCGCAAGCGCTACTTCATCGGCGAGGAGGTTTCGGTGCAGGGTAAGAAGAACGCCACCTACACGGTGGTGGGTGTCAAGTTGGACAAAAATATGCCGGAACCAGGCAACGGGATCTACGAGGACACGGACAACCTGCTCTACAGACTTCGACCGAACAAGGGCGATCCCAGCGCGGAGCTTGAGCTGCCCTTTAAGCAGTTGCGTCGCTCGCGCCTGGAGTTCAACCTGGAAAACCTAAATATGTTCATTAAGAGCAATGTATCCCGGGTGGATGGACTTTTGCGACCCAAGGCAGAGGCATACAAGCAGTACGTGACGGATCCTGGCGTAAGCTTCTCGACCATTTTCATTGGCAAAA